CTCCCAGCCCCCCCCCCCCAGCTCTAACCCTCAGGCCCCACTCCCTCCCAGAGCCAGGGATAGAACCCAGGAGTCCTAGCTCCCATTCTCCCCTAACCCCACCGCTCTAACCACTAGCCTCCCACTCCCCTCCCCTCAGCTAGAACCCAGGCATCCTGGTGCCAGTACCTGGGAGATGCTGATGCCGGTGAGTTTCTCCACAGTGTCGGGGAGTTTGCTCATGATTTCCAGCACCTCCCCCGTCATCTTGGCCGCGCCCACGCCCTCGCTGCCACTCGACACCATGGTGATCTTCTTCACCGCGCTCAGCGGCTTGCTGATCTCCTCCGCCACCTGGGGGGAGGGGCGCCACGCCGCTCCGTTATTGTAGGGTCTGCCTTAAGTGCTGGGGGCTGAGCTGGGTTATCATCATGGGGGCTCCCATATGGGCTGGGGGCTCTGCACACTGATTTGTTATTGTAGAGCTGGGGGCCAAGCAGGCTGGGGTGTTATTGTAGGGTCTACCTTAAACGCTGGCGGTGAGCCACTTTGCTAAGGCTTTCCACAAGGGCTGGGCGGGTTGTTTTTGCAGGGACTCTCGGGAGGGCTTGGGCGAGGCTGCTTTGTTATTGTAGGGTCTCCCAGGGAGCTGATCCTGCCCTCCCCCCGCCCTGGCCTCACCTGGGGCAGCTTCTCCAGCAGCATGTCGACCATGGCGGCGTCCTGGTACTGCTGGAACGCCTCCGCCTTCTTGGCCATCTGCTCGGCGTCCGCCCGCGCCTTGGCTTCGATGGCGAACGCCTGAGCCTCCCCCTTCACCTGCAGGGGGGGGGGGCTGATCAGTGCTGGGGGTGGATAGCTCCCCGCCCACCACTGCTGTCTCGGACGCCTGGGTCCCATCCCGGCCTCCAGCCCCCCTAGGGGTGAGAGCCCCGCGCTGCTGTCCCGGACGCCTGGGTCCCATCCTGGACTCCAGCCCCCCCAGGGGTGAGAGCCCCGCGCTGCTGTCCCGGACGCCTGGGTCCCATCCTGGACTC